TCCAATTACAAAATAAAATACTATCACCCCGGGGCAGCAAACTGTTATCGATCTGTAATGGCGGCTAAATCGGGATCGGGTCAACAGTGTTGTTATAATGCAGATGGCAAAATCTTAGTCGGTCCTCCTGGTGGAGGAACGGCGGACAGATACGCTCCCATTTGGTTTAATACCATATTACATTGGTGGTACGACGTTCGTCCATTTGAATGTTGCTGCAAGGAGTCAGACAACTGCGGAAAATACTATATGTACAGGCCATCGGATGATGGCTCAGGGTATCCCAAAAACACTTCTTCTTCTCCTACTCCTCCTCCTACTCCTACTCCTACTCCTCCTCCTACTCCTACTCCTACTCCTACTCCTACTCCTACTCCTACTCCTACTCCTACTCCTACGCCTACTCCTAATTCTAATCATAATCCCACTCCTAATCCTACTCCTACTCCTAATCCTACTCCCATGAGACTGCCGCGAAAACCATGCAAGTCCAGATACCAAAAAACAACTCACACACCAGAAATGTGAATGTTCACTTTACAAATACCACATTGTCGGTAAAAATAAAAAGATGGCTTCTTTTGGCTTCGGCTTTGGGAAATGCATGCAAATAAGGATTGGGTACAAAGTCGTGAACAAAGTCGAGTGACTTGAATATTTGGTGGGTAGTTTGGTAAAGTGCTTATCATCTATAGGCTACATGTATATGCATTATATTATCATACATTATAATAACGTGTAATATCACGGTTATTTTTGTATATCTCCTATCTTTTGATTATGAAATTATCAAAGCAAAGAATGGTAGATTCAGAAATTCCAGAAAACCTAACTAATCTGAGACCATAAATTTATTGGAATATTCGAATCATCGTAAAAAAGTGTCATTTTGTTTCCACTGGCAGAGTAAAAACTAAATCACTGGCACTTTCATTTGTTTTCAGACCGCTAGTATCGCAGATGTATCGCACGGCATTCTATACTTTTCACAGTTACTCATTATACTCGTATTTTAATTGAAATGTTGTTATATATTTGAAAATGCTGATAAAATAACCTAATACAGGCACACGCACATCAGTATAAAATAGAGCCTTGAATATACCTGCTTTCATACTCAAAGCTACTTGTTCAGTAATCTCCGTGGCGGAGAATTTAGGAGGAATTTCAACCAAGTAGAATTTCTACCAAGTGTGGCTGGAGTTTTATTAATGTTACGTACATGATAATAATCTTAATTGAATATATTAGGTGTAGTTGTTTTAGTGTACAAACCTTGTACATCTACGCCCACAATCTTGATTGTTTCAAAACCCCATGTAAAGCGGTTGGATTTTAAGTTGATTTCAGATATTATGGTTAGCATTATTTTACTTATTATAGCAAACGCGTACAGCATATATCATATCACCAGCATACATTTTTTCCATGTACAATTTAAGATCAAAACCAGTCACACAATAGGTAATATGGTCAGGTCAACGTGAAATATTGACACAAATATTCCATTTTTATCCTACTTTTTGAGGTTACCTGTATAACAATTGTCGAATTGATTATTAGTACGTAGAACAGCAATGTATATCACCATGTAATTATTTGAGGAAAGCTGTAACAAGTTAGGTATATACGTAAGTCCAACAGTTTGAAGTGTGGTGAATGATGTTTTATATCAATATAGCGCTGTTGTTACTTAAGGGTTTAGTTGATTTAAAGACTCACGTAGGCCTAATCAAATTATTTTACGTTATATTTATTAGCAGTATAACCCTGCGTCATACAGGCCTAGCTTGCATATTAATGGTGTAGCTTTTTGGAACAAAACAAAATACTTGTAAGACTTATTGTAGCTAGAAGGAAATTGATTATGTGTGCAGGGACATTTTGCTTATTCGCTATGGTCACTCGAATTGTTATACATCATAATAACATGTATAATATCACGTGTTTTGTATATTTCCTACCTATCGATTATCAGAGTGAATTAAACACTGTCAAAGGCTGGTTGGAGTGTGGAATGCTGATAATCACCCTCTACTTCGCCTCGGGTAATTATCAGCATTCCAGACTCCAACCAGTCTTAAACAAAGTGTTTAACACCTCCCAAGCACATATTTCTTCCATTCGTAAAATGTAGAATTAAGGAAACAATATATATCATACTTTTTTGAAAAACGATAATAGTTCTTAAATTGTACATACATGATAGCAAATGATAATATGGGATAAACCGAGTACTTTATTTTTCTTTGAACTGTGGAGAAGAATATTCTATTATAGCTTTGTTGTTAATTAAAATTGTATCTATTTGAAGACGCACATATTTATATTTGTTTCATGAAATGATATGGTATAATCAGGTCAAACGCTGCGGCATAGACATTGCATAGTAAACGGATGTAGCTGTAATTGTTTTACAATTTTAATTTTTGTTGTGTATTTGAAGCTATAAGTATTAGTTGAATCAAGTCTAGCTATTCTACACTCCATTCCGGCAACAATGGAAAAAGCTTTCTTACCTAGATATTCATGCCCTCGTTTTGTTTAATACCTTGTCTTCCCTTTTGAATAACCGGCTTGGCCATAGTCCAAATTTATTGAACTGCCGATGCGCCAAACTTCAGCACACCTTTTCAAAATAAAACTGAACGCCACCGGTTATTTGATCGGGCATTTTTTTTCAAGTTTCAACACCATATATCTGATTATAAATATACGTCGAAAAATAACTTACTCAGAAAAATATTATTGCATAGTTCTCTTTTTTTATTTTTGTTACTTCCATATTAGCTATTAAAATACAAAATGTGGAAATAAGGAAACACTAGTTTTGGAAAAACGATTACATAATACTTGTGAGACTGTTTCCTTTTTTTGTAGCTCGAAAGAAACTGATTATGTGTACAAGACATTTTTGTTTATTCGCTATAGCCACTCGGATTTGATATTTTCAAATGTTCACGTTAATGGTCGTTAGAATTAAATTGTAGTGTATTAAGTGTATTCAACAAAGGTGTACAACGTGTATCGTTAACATACGTATTTCACATTAATATGTAGGCTTAGAATTTAAAATCAAAATCGTTGTCTTTAAATATGTAAAAATTATATTCAAGTGAACGAGAAACATTGACACAAAAAATGTCACTTTAGAAGGTAGTCTGTGTATACGAACAATTTCGCCGAATTAGTTATCTGCCCGAAAAAGAGCAATATAAATATGTTTGAACAATTTATTGGCAAGTCAAAACAGTTTAAAGCTTGGTGATAACTCAAGGATGATATCAAAGCTTTGTTGTTACTCAATAAGGGTTTAGTTGGTTTAAAAGTTTACGTATTCGAATATTTTAAATGCAATGATATGTTAAAGTTTATATGCAGTACAACCGTGCGTAAGATAACTTGCATAGTAAATGGATGGAGCTTCTGGGTTTTTTTGATATGGTTTGGTGTGTTGTGAAATTCGACATAAGTCCGACTTGAATCAAGTCTAGCCATGCGTCGATTCCATTGTAGCAATAATATACAATTGAAGTAGCATGTTCCCTTGATATTCCTGCACTCGGTTTCTTTTCTCACTAGTAATCCAAAAAGGGATTAATAGTAAGCAAAACAGCATACATTCGAAAACAGGTGACGCCATTTCGGGTTGTTCCCATGCAACAGTTTTATCTCGTTTCGAAATCATGCATCTAATATGAAATATACCTTAAAATAAGTTACTCAGAATAATTATTAGTTTTACATTTCTCAATTCGTAATTGTACTTCTTATAATAGGTGCCAAAATGTTGATGATATATTCAACAGAGTCATGTATAATAGCACATATACTGTGGGATAAACTGTGTTTTTGTTAACATAACAAACATATTTACATTACCATAACTGTAGCTGTGTAAACAGTTTTTTGTTTTGTTTCAGTATGTACTATGCTGAATATAGTCACGATTGGTTGATCATTTCGAAATCTGCCTGCTCTTTCTAGTAACAAATCTTGATTGAGGAATTTATAATTGCAGAATGTAAAGATGCAGCATTGAGCACGTTCGAGCGAGGCAGTCTTGGTCGACTGCTGGTTGATTCCCGACGTAACTAACGCATGCACATTAATAGTCAAACAAAATTTTGGTTCCGGCTCCCTGCTATGCATTGTGATGCGCGCAGCTATGATAGTAACCAACGATACAACCAACGTCATTAAGCTGGTCGCGACAAGTATACCAACCATCGTTGACTTTCCAACGTTCGATCAAAGTTAGTCAAGTTACAATTAATACACACTGTATATAGTTCCTGATCGTGCCTGCTCACTATTTTAATTTATAGGCTAATAATGCTGTACATATTGCGGTGACAACATTATATTTAGGTATAGTTTGTTTTTGCTTAATACGGTTTAGTTAACGGGTACTATGACTCACGATGTATTTTTTCCTGAGTTCTTTTATATTTGTCATTGCATTAATTTGATTGGCATAAAGTAAATGGTTTAAGTGGGGCACTCTTTTGGCATATCGTCTACAAAATAAACATTATATAGGATGAGTAAAAAAAAAAAAAAAACCAAATGTTGGGACCATTGTTTTAGTAAAGTTCTGCATGTAGCACTTTTAAAATCTAGGATAGGAAAGCCCAAGTCATAAGCGTTTTTAGTACAGCAATCATTCAAACCTGAATTGTAAACACAACCACCGTTTTAAGGTTCTGTCCACGGATCACAAAAAATTTCAGTGTTCTCCCAGCAAAACGAAAACAAATCACATAGGGATGTGTGTAAATTGGTTTCGTTTGGCTGAAAGAACGCGCACCTTTTGTTGTAATCCGTAGACAGAACTTTAAAACGGTGGTTCCGTTTAACATTCCGTAACTTAAAGTACATGAGTGATTTGATGATTCTTGTACTCAAAGAAAGCTTATGAATTGGGCTTTTATGTCCTACATTTTAAAAGTGCAACATGCAGAACTTCAATAAAACAATTGTCCCGACATTTGGGTTTCTTTTTTTTTTACTCACCTTGTATAGTCTAGCCTATTGATTTGTTGGTTGGATTGTTTGCCTTTCCATTTCTTCCTTATCTCAGTTCTACATGTCATCAGCAAATTTTACCATCCGCTATGTTTCACCTTGTTATGTTTCACACGAACAAACCATATTTGGTAGTTTAGATCAAGTTCGCTTGCCTCCACAGGATGAAAACATTACAGTTATAGATTACTTTTAAGTTTCTTGGCAACACTTTTTCTGTTTATGCTGATCAGCCAAGTAGTTCTTTATGATGCTTATGTGACAATTTAGAGATAGAAATGAGAGAGATAAGACAAAGATAAAACAAAAACACCCATAGATTCTCTGGATATTTCCTAAAGTGCCAACCGATCAATATTTTTAATCCCAAAACAGAGGGATTTGAAGGAAATAAAGTCACTGCATATTAGTATTGATAGGATACTCCAGGCACGTTTGTTGGGTTCAATTCCAGGTTTTGAGATTTGTTATATTTGCCTGGGTGAGATTGCCAAATTTGGAAGGATTTTGTTCCCCGATGGAATCATTCGTATTGTTGTATTTTGGTCGAGCGCCAAGTCACGCACAATGTGTGGAATTTGTTTTCAATGCGCGGTTGTCAAGAAAAAAAAGGTGACCTGGGAAAAGTTGGGGGGAAAATGGCAGGAATTTGTTGGGTAGGTCCCTTGAAAAGTAGTGTGTTGATCACGTGTGAAGCCTTTCATATTTTGGAATGTCATATTATTGTTATCAGTCGGATTGTTGACATCGTGAAGTCAAACCGCCATCAAGTGTTAAATACATTAGATAGGGTGTCCTGGAGCTATTGCATTGCACTGCATACTTTTCTTTTCTTTGCAATTATTTTTAGCATTAACCTGATATCGCAGCACATGTAAAGAAAAAAAACCTCAACTTTCAAATGCTTATTTCTTTTCTGGTTTGATTGTTTCATCCGTTGAAGGATCCATGAAATCCTTGCCGGTGATGTCATCGATGTTTTTGCACTCGAGAATCGCCGAGTTCGGAACCTGCCAAAAAATTGAAATCATTTATAGTTCGCTCTCAACTCACTTATGAATATCCAATGGTTCATATGACGAATAAAGTCATGTGATCACATTCGTACGTGATTCTTGGGCCCACGCATGTTTGGGTGTGCATTTACGAGTATGCGTGGATAAGAGAATGAAATGAATGGTTGAAATGCGCGCCTTGGTTTCCGCGTGTACGTCTGGTTATGGGGATTGTCACTTCGGAGTGTCCTCTTTTCACTTCTCAGTTAGTTTTAAAAAAACACCAAAAACAGACCAAATTTTCATTGAGTAACTCAATAATACACCAGGGTTATTCAACACCACAATTCATACAGCTATGGTACATTTTAATTCTGGCGTTCATAAATTCTTCTATATGGCCTGGGCAAAAACTTGAGCATAAATTAAATGTCCTTACCATGCCATATTAAGGTGTATGTGTACGGTTTTCGGTTTGCGGGTTCAGAACATACAATTTTCTTGTTCGCTAGTGTTGACTGCGCGTGCGTCATGGGTGATCTAAGATGGCGGACCGCTGCTTCAGGGTACACCCAAGTAAATATCCAAAAGTTATTCCGTCGAGCTCATGAATAAAAGCTTTTCACTCAAATTATTCTATATTAGAGAGTTCTGGGAGCCATGGAATTGGGAATTAAAGACACATGGCACTGCACCTCTGGCCTGGACTCGGGATTCCAATTTTGAGCATTTTGGATGCAATTGGTTCCGAAATTGGCGCTATTTAGCTATGTTGTGGAGGGATTCACCGCTTGTTTTCTTTTAGGAGCGGTCTTCTGTAGGTGAGAATTTCTCCAAACGTCAATGGTTAACCCACCAAAATTGAAGAGAAAATGAAAGAGGACAATTTGATAATCTTTTTTTTTCTATGCAGCCTGAACACATGTGAGAATTCTGAGTATTTTTAAAAGAATTTTGAAATAAGGGGATTTATCACTGGTGTCTATGGGAATCTTTATGGGGTGCACCCTTGAAAGCGTGGGCTTTGTCAACCGGCCCAGTTAGTAAAGATGTCAGTGGTGTATGGAGTGCAAATACAACGCACCTTGTGAAGTGGTGTGTAGCACGGATGGTGGTGTTTCTTAAACGGATTGTTGCTGGCTCGATTGTAGGATATGATGAACACCCATCGCCGCCTGTCGCTATCGTTACGATCGCTCTTGTGTAGCACGTTGGCATGAAAGAAAAGAGCATCGCCCGGATCCAACTCGACGTACACAAGCTCCAACACCTTGGATGTAACACGAGTGAATAAGTCAATGAATGGGGGTGGCTGTAGCGACGCCATTTTCCGAGTACCAACAGTAGAAAAAAATCTCGTTTGTTAAGTTTGTTTAGTAAATTTACTTAAATAAAAAAACAAAGTTTGTAAAAAGGTAGTCTGAGCAGTAGCAATGTAGAAACGTACGTCAATATCCTTCGATTCACGAGTTTATACGCCAAATGGGGCCATTACAGCGCCCTCTCTCGTTTACGATTACGATTTTGGTGTAGCTCACAAATTATTTTTTTCTAGTTAATAGATGGAACATTAATACAAACTGTTTCCAACGGTGAAAGTCTTGAACCCTACCTTCTTTGCTTCCTCGATCCGTGCGACATCAGCCCCCGTCTGGCCCCCGACCATTATATGCTCAATGCGTCCGAGCTTATGGGAGCCTCGGATCACCTTGAGAAGGAATTGAAAAAGAAAAGAATTGTAAAAAAAATATTGACGTTGAGGAAAAAAAGGACCAAAAACGAAATCTCGGTTACCTGCAAGCATCCGTTTTCCTTGTCCGTTTTATCGATAGCGATGAAAACTGATCCCATATCAGGAAAGAGACACCCGTTCTTGTACCAGTAACTGGACAGACAAATAGGGGGAAAAATCAACAGTTTTTTTAAAACTCGGTTTGGCCATTATCGCAAAAGTTCCACCTGTATGACCTGCGTTTGAATCCCATCCAGGTCAATATGCATCGAGTTTTCCGCCCCTTGTTTTTCTGGAAAGACATGTTGGGGTTTTCCTAATTATATGCCCCTTTTTGGAGGGGGGAGGGAGATGTGGGACGTCTTTGGCGACCCCCCCCCCCCCCCCTCTATTAACGTCAATCAAGTTTTTACCTAAATGTTCAAAATATTATTCCCAAGGTACGATAGCGCAAAGACATTGGCAGACTAACACTGAAAAATTGCCTGGGTGAATTTTACCCAAGAAAGGGTGAAAGCTGCAACTACCCAAAAATGGGTTGTTCTGTACCAATTGTTTGGGTTAGAATTTCTGTTAAATATAACCAAAACTTGTGGTCATAAAATGAATTTGGTCTTGTATGACTACAACTTTTAGTTGAATTTATCAGAAATTCTAACCCAAACAATAATTGGTTATAGAACAACCCGATTTTGGGTAGTTGCAGTTTTCACCCTTTCTTGGGTAAAATTAACCCAGGCAATTTTTCAGTGCACCCATATAATCATTTAGTATGTTTGAACAGCGCCCTCACATTAGGTAGCGTCCACCCCTCTCTCAACTTATCAGATATTCACTGCTGCTGGTCCTACCAATATTGCAATATCACTGCTGCTTTTTAGGGCCCCGGGCAAAAGATACTTTCTGAGATTCCTAACTCACAAAATGTAACTTTTGTCTGAAACTCTCGAACATTATCTGCGATCTCCTATTTGAAATAGCCTATTATCTACAATATAGTCTGTGACTGTAGACTCCTGTCTTTTACCCGTAATCTTGGTGCCACACGTGCGAGCCACCCGTTCTAGCTTCCTTCATCATAAGCTTTGTGTGGTAGTGATAGACTTCTCCTCCGAGAACCTAGCGATGTTACAATTAATAAAACAAATATCAAAAATCAAATCATTATTAACTTTTTATGATCAGCTCATAACTTGCTACCACGAAATCACAATGGTCACTGTGATTTGGAAGGTATATAGTACCTGTTACGATCAACTTATAACTTGTTACCATGAAATCATAATGATCACAGTGGAAGGAAAAGAACCTATGTCAATCAACTCATAATTAAACCATGCAATCATAATGAACACAGTGATTTGAAAGGAATTGTACTTGTGTCGATCGACTCATAACAGACTGGTTGCCATGAAATCATAATGATCACAGTGATTTGGAAGGAATAGTACCTGTGTCGCATAAGCTTTGTGAAAGAAGAAGTTTTGTGACTTTTGTAAATCAAAAAGGCAAGTTTTTTTTTGCTGTGGCAACACAACTTACATTGCGCCATTAATCTTGGAATAACCTACACAGAAAACACAAAGTGAGTACTTTGACTCAATATCGTAATAATTGAGTCATTTTGTCCGTGTATTGAGACACTTTGAGCCATAGTGTGTCACTATACGGACAAAATGACTCATTTCTTACGATAATGTGTCTAATTACCCACTTTGTGTATTCTGTGTACATTTTTTATATCCTAAAACTGCGTCGTTATAGCGCCCTCACTCGTTTAAGAAAAAAAGGGCTTATTGAAAAGATTTCTCGCCAACCTTTTCCATGGTACCCGCCACTTTTTCGCACCTGGCTAGCATGCCTGTCACATCAGATCCTGGGTGGCTCCAGAGGGAGAGCTTACTGCTTCGTCCCTCCCCGTCGCCAATATCGAAGGCGTGGGCCCGTATGCCCTCATCCCGGTCAATGGCTGATCCTAAGGCTTGCATCTCCTCAGCACCCAGCAACGATCTACAGATCGTTGAATATAAAGAGAAAAGAATATTGAAGTCTGGGAGAAATAACTTGAACAGGGATGTGTCGACAGACAAATTCCACATGTTGTTTCTTTTCAAATGACATGTCTTTGCCGGTCTTTGCCGGTTACTTGGCCACCAGTAATGCAATAGATAGGTGTACATTATGTCAGTAGAGTCTATCAATCAGGCTCGCTCTTGTCGATCGAGAAGAGGGCGGGGCTAATGAATGAAACACAGGCATATTCAGCTGACAATGAAGAATCCTTCTTGATCAATTGCTCCCTGCATCTCTTGAGAGAGAAGAGGGCGGGGCTAATGAGTGAAACATTGGCGTATTCACCTGACAATGAAGTATCCTTGGTCAAATGCTCCCTGCATCTCCTCAGAGAGAAAAGGGCGGGGCTAATGAGTGCAACATGGACGTAGTTACCTGACAATGAAGTATCAATTACTCCCTGCATCTCCTCAGAGAGAAGAGGGCGGGGCTAATAAGTGAAACATGGGCGTATTCACCATACAGTGAAGTATCCCTCTTGATCAATTGCTCCCTGCATCTCCTGAGAGAGAAGAGGGCGGGGCTAATGAGTGAAACATGGGCGTATTCACCTGACAATGAAGTATCCTTCTCGATCAATATGCTCCCTGCATCTCCTCAAAGAGACGAGGGCGGAGCTAATGAGTGAAACATGGGCGTATTCACCTGACAATGAAGTATCCTTCTCAATCAATATGCTCTCTGCATCTCCTCAAAGAGAAGAGGACGGGGCTAATGAGTGAAACATGGGCGTATTCACCTTACAATGAAGTATCCTTCTTGATCAAACGCTTTCTGCATCTCCTCAGAGAAAAGAGGGCGGGGCTAATGAGTGAAACATGGGCGTATTCACCTGGGCGTATTCACCTTACAATGAAGTATCCTTCTTGATCAAATGCTCTCTGCATCTCCTCAGTGACTGCGAATTCCCCGGTAAACGAGAAATCTGACATGGGTGGTTGCAAGAGCAAAGTTAGTATAGCATAACTAACATATTCAGGCTGGAGCACTGAGAATAAGTAGGCGTAATATTACTAATTTTTCCTCTGCGCCCTGTGGCAATGAGCTTCGACCGTCCGACCCAGGATCTGCACATAGTGTGGGTTAGCAATTATATTTACTTCCCAGGCTAGGCTTCCCAGTTTTATATGGAAGCACTGCTGGCTTTCATTGTGTGAATCAGAACCAGCATTTGCATAATACACGTCGTACACGCACGTATCCCATATCGGCCAGTTCATTATACTGTCATTATTATTGTGCAGCTTTGAAAATAATAATATTTCCCTAGTCGATCGTTCCACTCTGTATTCGCATCAGTGTCTCCGTTAGATGATGCTAAAGAATACAGTTTGAAAACGTCAAATACAAAGTTTGAAAACTGGCCAATTTCATGCCACGACACAATAGAGAGCTGCATGCAGTGTTTAGCACGCCTGTTGCAAAGTATGGTCATTTGCAATAAAGCTTATCGTCCATTCAAGTTTAACCTTTATTCATTATGCCATACCTGTTTTGTTGGCGGACTCCATTGTATTGCATGCAGCACGTGAATATGACACTTCTGGCACTAGTCTGGTATATAGTGTCGTCCTCAAAGCACTAGTAGGCCTTATAATTTATACACAGCCTGCCGACCATGCACTTTCCTAGGTCTGTGTTGTCCTTTATCTTCCATCGAATTATATTGGTAGTTGTTAGTCTATATGCCTAATTGTTGACCTTACATCACATGCATAAAATGGACAAAGGTTTCCGATGTTATCAGTCATAGACCTATGGAATGGACAAAGGTTTACGATGTTATCAAAGTTTTTTGATATGAAAATGCCAACGCCATTATCGCCTTGTTCACACCCATGTGACCTTTGCCCTCTTAAACCAGGCACGTCGCTTTCCAAGTGAGCATTCGCGCATATGGGTGCACCCCTGCATTAAAATTCCCGTAGACACTAGTGCTAAATGCCCAGACTTCAAAATTCTTATAAAAATACTCAGAAATCTCACAGGTATTTAAGCATCTTTTATTTTATTTTCATTTTTTTGGTGGGTCGACCATTGACTTTTCGAGGAATTTTCACCCAAGGAAGACGACCCCTATTTTCCCCAAAGCGGCAAGGTAGCCTTCTTGAAAAATTATCCCTCCACAACGTGGCAAAATAGAGCCACTTTCGAGCCCATTTGCTAATTTGGAATATTTTGATGGTACATGTATATCTTTTATTCGTGAGCTCGGCGGATGGGTTTAGGCCTATTAACCGGCGTGCACCCATTATGCCCGTGGCGATCACAAGACCATGGATAAGTCAAGAGGGGCGCCCTTGCTATACAATAGGAGGGGGGTTGTTTCATCAGCAAAAAAAACTGAAAATGTACACAGGTTTTTTCTCCGGACACTTGGCCTCCGTAAAATCAAAAACTGGGGGGGGGGGGGGGGGGGGGGGGGGCTGGTACCATATTTCAGTAGGGGCGCTGTTCAAATTCGACGATTATTAACACTAGAATACAGAATGGTGTACCGTATTTTGAACAGGCGGACATTATACCAGTATCATTTTTTTGGGGGGGGGGGGAGGGGTGTCACGAGGGGGGGGGGGGTTTCGACTTACTTTTTTGGAATTTGTATGATAATTTTTTTTGGGACAGAGCTGGGGGGGGGGGTTGACCCACAAAACCACCCCTCTGGATCCGCACCTACGGCGCTTTTAATCCGACAAGCAAACATTCAATCATGTTTCTGACGTTTACCAGTGCAGTGCAATCAACCCAACGTGCAAGGTGTTTGTAGACAATCTTCGCTTGAGAGGGTATGACACCCTGATTCCTTGGTTTGGTTTTTGTCAGCAAAATCATGTCCCTGGCGGCAAAATATGTCATTTATCAGAGCGCCACCTTGTGTATACTTGGTGTCCAGTCCAAAGAGTACAGCGCCCCAATTTGTCAGAACGCGCCCCCGTACGCGAAATGTTTACCCCATGCCGTTCTGGCACGACATACAGAGGGCGGCCTCTCCGCTCGCAGGCATTGTGATCCAGGGTGTAAAGCTTATGCTGGGTTTGCGTCATGTGAAGCCCGATACGAATTAAGGGGGGGGGGGGACAGCCCTCCGACCGTTATTCGAACTGGATAACCGGCAATGAAAGGTTTGTGGGGGAAAACAGTCTGAAATTTGTCTGGTGACATTTCCCTGTTAAGATGTTTTTCCCTTGGACTTCAAGGTTCTTTTCTTTTTATACTCAACGATCTGTAGATCGCTGTTGGGTTGTGAGGAGATGCAAGCCTTACGATCAGCCATTGACCGGGATGAGGGAATACGGGCCCACGCCTTCGATATTGGCGACGGGGAGGGACGATGCAGTAAGCTCTCCCTGTGGAGCCACCCAGGATTTGATGTGACAGGCATGCTGGCCAGGTGCGAAAAAGTGGCAGGTACCGTGGAAAAGGTTGGCAAGAAAAATCTTGAGTTTCTCAATGAAAATATGGTATGTTTAAGGTGATATTGGAAACTGACTGAAAACTGGAAGGAAAAAAAGGACATATTTAAAAGTGACATTCCCCTAACCAAACGTATACGCGATTGTCTTATGCAGGAACCAGGCGCCAATTTCAAAGATAAACACTTCTCAAATCACCCAAATTGCTGATCAGGTCAAGATGTCAAGATGTACGTCCCCTATCACCAGTGCACACTTTAGACTGTTATCACCTAACACATCCCTAGCTCTGAAGAATATCCTGAGAACGCATTGTTCAACACAAAGGGAGGGGGGGGGGTTCGTCTGTCGCAAGTCTTGCTTCAAATGTAGTCAACAACCCCTTGCGACCGCTAACAATATGTTAAATTCCTACCCAAACCCCAATTCAAGAGACTAACCCGAACAATTCCTGCCATTTTTGCTTCAGCTTTTCCCTGGTCGCTTTTTCCTTTCTTGACAAAATACGTATTACAAACGAATTCCACTGATGCGCGTGCCTTAACGTTCTATCAAACTACAACATTCAGTGGATTCAGTTGGAAGGGGGAGAATACTCAATTTCGCATTGTTCGCCCACGCACCAAACTGGGACTTGGAAAGGAAACTTACCTCGATATTTTTTTTGTCGTTTTCCTTATCCCCGTTTTGTGATTATTCAAATATTGACAGAGAGTGGTTCACATTATTTTACATACATACACAGTGTTCCAAAAAAGTGCAACATTCAGAAAACAAATAGTGAAAACTGTTTAGTGGGGTTTTTTTTCAATGAAATTATACATTACATTAAACTTAGCCTGACTATTTCTCAATCCACTCCTTTTTACCCCATTCCATTTGGGTCCCTAGATCCACAAATACAATCAGTTAATTGAAATGGTGTAAAGTTTACTTGGGCTACTCTCATACGGGCATGCTGAATCTGGGTTTGGCATTGAATAGGCATTGAAGTTGCTGACATCACAGGTGAGAGTGACCAAAGTAAGATTTACACCCTTTCACTTTATAATTGATTGGATTTCTGGATCTAGGGACCCAAATGAAATGGGGTAAAAGGAGTGGATTGAGAAGTAGTACAGGCTTTAATGTAATGTATAATTCTATCACATACAAAAAACATTAAAAACTTTTAATTATTTGTTTTCTGAATGTTGCTCTTATTATGGCACACTCTGCAAAAGCTGTTTCGGACATACTTTCTCTTTATAGGAAATCAGCGGAGAATTGATCACATACTGTGAATATAATAGAGAATTACTTTCGTTCATCAGCATAAACAGAAAGATGTTTTCAAAATATCTTATTGTAATATTTACACCATGTCAAGCGAACAGCAATGAGCAGGTTAAACTACAAATAACTACGGTTTGATCGAACGGGGGTCAGTCAATGATTGACTTGACTTGTCTAGTGATGGGACTGATTGTCTAGTCAACAAGTGAGAACAATGTTGCATCTTTATATTAAGGCCATCAGCCTCGGTCCAAAACTTTGGCCACCGGTATCAAATGAGGGGAATAATCGTCATAGCGATTTTTGGCAAGGTATACACCTCCAGAATTGGAAAATATGTGATAGCATTGCAGCGGTGGCAGCTTTTTGGGTGTTATCACCCTTTTTTTTCAAAATGTTCATCAAAATGATTGTTACCACTCTAGGGGTGGTATACCTGGCGCATGCGCACTATAATAATTTATGCCCTGATTTGATACTGGCTAAACCCCCAGGCTGATGGCCTCATTTTATATTTATGATTTTACAATCATGTACGGTTTACTACAGCAGAAACGTTTCTAGATGATCTACCAAGTGCGAACTACTACGGTAAATCACAGATAGTAAACCAAAAAGTCACGTCAGCCCATCTGTTTGTAGCGATCTTTTCATGCAAAATGTGTTGTTGTTTTTTGTGCTTTAACAAATACACAATTTATCCCATATATTCTATTATACAAAATAAAGGTATATCATATTCCATAATCAACTATTTAGTACATAATTATGATAAAGTGGTACAATTAAGAAAAGAGATATGTGTAATAATTATTATCCTCAGTAACTTATAGTTAACGTATATAAGTAAACTAGAAAAAATAAGCTCGATGAAAACAACTACAAAAAAGCGTTAATTTTATTGTTCTGCTTTGCCCACTAGTAATCATGTTGGTGCCGAAATATGACGCATCGGCAGAGATAGATCTGGACCCCGGCCAACTGGACATTAGAAAGAAAAAAAGGAGAAAAAAACACCGAGCGCATGAATATCCAGGTAAGCAAGCTTCTTTCATTGTATATTGTTGGCGGAATGGAGTTAATGCATGACTTGACTTGATTGAAGTCGACCGTAGATCGAAATCCACAACACACACCAAATTACAAAACAATTAGTGCTACATCCGTTTACTATGCAAACTATATGCATATGCGGCAGGGTAGTCCTGCTTAAACTATAACCTACAATTGTATTACACATAATCTGGTACCATGGGGGCGCTGTTCAAAACCGACGATTTCGCACACTTACGGACTCTATATGGTGGTTTTCAGGGCGATACATGCGTGAAATTAAAAAAGGCACCCGGAACGGCCGATGGCACCAACAAAATCCACCAATTCTGTTTAAAAGGGCCCTTGTTCGCAAGAAAGGGCACTACACTACATTAAAAGGGCACTCTTTACAAAGTATTGGGGCGGGGTAAGCACTGGTGGAAAAAAGGCATTCGAATGGAAAAGGCAGTCTTTACAAAATATTGGGGGTTGGGGTAAATACCCCATTACACTCCCCCCCCCCCCCCCGGCTACGCCTATGGGTTAGGACCGATAATGTGACAACGCTTGACTGATAATTTAACATATGTTACTACAATATCGAGTGACTTTGATTGTGTAAAAATAACGCGTTCTTCTTGAATTGTACATCATTCACAATCAGATGAACGTAATCAAGGATGAATCAGGGTGTTATTTTCTCGTTTTCGTGAAAATAAAATGTGTACTGGAATTTATCGAACCCCAAAAGCTGCAATATATTTTCAAATTAAAAGAAATTGTTCAACTGCAAAAGCTGAATTTTGTGATCCTTTTTTTTCTGTTCTGACGTAAAAAATATATACTTCACAACTTTAATAACTAGACAATGTCACATAAAAAAAATTGCGAGCACAGACACTCTGCGTTTTTATTTCAACAAAAGTGAATCTGTAGTTATCATCAAAATAAATATTTTTATTTTCAAAAAGTACAGAGCTACAGCTTAATTCGACTGGTTTTTGTTTGTTCAGCATTGTTTATTTTCGTATTTTCGGCACGTGTGGATTACGGAATTGTAATCTTTGTTGAGTTATACGGTTGCCACTCAGAAATTCATTTTTTTTTTTATTTTAAAAAAATCCCATCCTAAAATAAAGCTTTGATAAAAGCTGCCTATACCATAGGCCTACCCCTATTTTATTGTACTTGTCAGTATCACCTGTACAACCTTGATGGGAAAACGGCATGTGGTGTTGAAATCTGATGGGCTAGCTTTCCATGACATATAGACAGATACTAACAGAAACTTTGGCAATTGTCTGCGATACTGTCTGCAATACTGTCTGCGATACTGTCTGCGATACAGTCTGCGATAATGTCTGCGATACAGCCTGCGATAACCACATTCGTGCGACTGAATTTGCTATAGGAATAGAATTCGTAGATATTCCATTACATTTTACAAACAATCCTTGCGTATTTTAAAAGTGCTAACGTAAGCATCAATAATTGATCTTACCTTACGCTATAGTCTATGGAATAGACGCTTGCACAATACAGCAAGCGTTTATGATAATGCGTGTGGATTATTCAAAACAACACAGCATCTTGACCTCCAGATTTTGACCAGTCAGTGGGCGCCTTTGGTTTTGTATTACAAAACATGGCAGCAAATTGACCAATCAATAGCTTAGGCCGACTTTCCCATAAAATGTGCATGGGGTCCCATAAAATGTGCATGCACACAAACATCAGACGTTGTTGTGGAGCGTGCGGGCTCCAATGGAGAACGGATGATACACAGACTAGCTACTATAATGAGCATTAAGACGAAAATAGCAAATACAAAATGCACTGTAAAAAAAACAAAGCCCAATAAAACTTGTGTAGATCCACTGGTGAAATTGAAAAATAGGTAATTTGTAACTGGAAGGTCTTTGCTTCTAGAGGCATTAAATTAAATTCCATTACAAATGACCTATTTTCCTAATTCACCAGTGGATATACAAAAGTTTTACAAAATAAACTACTAAAGCGACATGTTGCAGTAAATGAGCTAATTCGTCTAATGTTGTCTCTGTAATTTGGTAATGATTAGTATAAAACTAAAGATTAAACCGCCCTGCCTATTACATAGTGTAGCGCTTGAAACTCCCCGACCACTCTACAGTTATATTGATTCTTCAGTGAATAAGCAATGTACAAACGTATAGTACAAGTGCTAAAGGGTAAATATATTACAATTCCGATTATGTACAATTATGAAACATGTTGTATACAAGTATTTACACAATTGATTTTTTTTTATACCTTACAGTTCTTTTTTTCAGCCCGCTGAGTGTTTTCGTTTCGCACCAGTGAACACAGACGCTAAAAAGATGCTTAAACGGTACATTAATTCGATTTTAATCTGTACTTCTACACACATCCTGCTGAATCCTCACTAAATATAAACGTCATTTCCTATTGCTCTATGCCTATACTACGATTCTCATCGAAAAAAACTTGTCAATAATTTTACCTCACATTGACGAATGACCTGGGAGACATCCCCATAGACTTGTGCACAAAATTTTTCAGACTTAAATGTGCCCTAACCCAATATTACATTGTTTTTTTCCACGAATTTCGGTATGTTTACTAATTAGCCCACGAGCAATATAATCAATTTGCGACAATAATATTTTGCCATGTTTACTAATTAGCCCACGAGCAATATAATCAATTTGCGACAATAATATTTTGCCTCTAAAGGGGGGCTGTGACATTAGGTAGACATGAAAATGTCTGCCATCGTAACGGTAAATTCTGGCTGCGGATAGCGATAAAGCCGTCAACGACTCGTAAATAGCTCTGAAGTTGTGTGGGCTTGCGTGAGATTGCATAAACTCAGGATGAAGCTCAAAATAACCCTGACGGAACTCGCCCCCGTAAAATGTTATTCCAATATCTCCATCGACCATTTGTTTTCTTCCTTGCCAAGCCTTAATCAGATTTAGGCTTATTATGCCTTGCGCACGTTTTAGGCACAAATATTCACGAATTTGGATCCGTCCTTCGCGACATTCCAGCAAATTTTCGAAAGCTGAGTTTATCTCTGCATGGTAATCATAGATTAAAAATGACAATGTAATAATAACAATGACCCTGGATTGAACATTTTGGGAGACATCCCCGTAGACTTGTGCACACAATTTTTCAAACTTAAATTTGCCCTAATCCAATATTCCCTTGTCCTTTTTCCACGAATTTCGGTATGTTTACTAATTAGCCCACGAGCAACAAATACAATCTAATTGCGACACTAAAATTTTGCCTCTAAAGGGGGGCTGTGACATTAGGGAGACATGCAAATGTCTCCCTAATGACCGATGTCTCCCATCGTGCGAAGAAATTACGATAACGTGTTTCCTTATAATGGTACCATTACACGTATAATGCGGTGCATATATAGCGCTTTATACTAAAGGTCTCAAAGCGCTTAATACTTATTACCCCTGTTCATCAGGCCATGAGACCAGTTTTGAAGCAGCTCGAGATCAGCGCATTCTAGTCTCTACCTATACTCCTGGGGGAAGAGAGGCAATTTATATCGTATATACATGTACTTACAAACGCTTTGCTCTATTGGCTTTCATACTATTCCACATTTTGAAGTATTCCACAAAGCGAGACTGACTAGGTACATGCATAATAATAATTAAGTTGAACAACAAAAAATTTACCCGAGCTTGAACTTGCGACCGTCGGATTACCGTATCGGTGCTCTACCAACTGAGCTATCCAGCCCCCTATGTTGACGATTCCCCAATTTGTCAATGTCGTTGTTCAAAAGGTACTAGTCAGAAGCCATAAACCCGTATATGCCATGTAGCCAGGGATCGCGTTCAAAGTCACGATGCTAGCAACATTGCCAATGCTGCAGAACAGATGCGGCTGAATAAAATCTGCCAATGCACGGCTGGGATGTGTTAGTTGGTGGATTAGGCCCCCCCCCCCCCCCCCCCCCTCTGTAGAAGGCTTACAAATTGGGCTCTACAGGGTGACCCAAATATGTAACCCTTAAACATTTACCTTTTTTCAAAAAGGTGAACTGTGAATGTCTATGTATTGGATATCAGATCAAAGCTGAGATATTTTTCTTTCAAATACGGGACAAATCACGAAAACAGCACATTGGGTAGCTGAGAAAACGCTAATTATGTAACATAACTCCATTTTGGTCCATACGGGACAAATCATGACAACAGCACATTGGGTAGCTGAGAAAAACGCTAATTATGTAACACAACTCCATTTTGGTCCATTACAATTGCAATACCACAGTTAAGGGATTTACACTCTACCTATGCATGAATTTCCGCATCTATATTTATGGCGCATTGTGTCCTAATCCTAACAAACAACATAATATGACAAGAGTACAAATGAATTTGAAGAAAATACCCCTTTTCACATGAACAGGTATCTTATCCCGTTAAGTTCTATTTGAAACCTTTTCAAAATCATAAATATGTGAAAATATTTAAGACATTTCACAAATAAAAGACAATTGAACAGTGGGCACACAGTAACATGTTTCACTGTTTGAAGCACCTTCTGAAAAGATGAAAAATCACTTCTTTTACATAATCGATATTTTCTCAGCAACCCAGTGTGCTTTTTTCATGATTTTTTTAGAATTTGAAAGAAAACGCTCCAGCTTTAATCTGATATAAAAAAAAACAATTCACCGATCAAGTTTTTGAACAAAGGCAAAAGTTTCAGGGTTTCATTTTTTGAGAGTCACCATATAAGGTTGACTGATGTATTTGTCAATCCTTGGTAAAGTTTGAATCGCGATTGGAGATTGTCCATGCTTCCTCTGCTGTTTATACCGTCTCCATGGTATGTGTTCCGGTTCCGTTTACTGTGGTCACTTCAATTCTCAGCGGCACGACGTTGTTTCCGCGCCGCTTACAACAGATCATCGCGATAAGCGCCTTGCGGAACTTATCGTACTTGAATCCGTAAAAGAAAGGATTGATGCTGGAATTCAAGGCGCCGAGAATGATGACGATTTGCTGCTCGACGACCGGCTGGGGCTCGGTGTTGACCAAGTTGGCGACAGTGGTGATGAAGATGACACGACTGGGGAATACCAAGAGGATGAATGCGATCGTCACGAGGATGAGTGTGTTCACGACGCGTTGGTGGGCGCGATGAAGCTCCTGCGGTGGGCCGTTGATCCCCTGGTGTTCGAGACTACGGGCGTTGCGTTTCAGGTTGCGCATGATGTTGCTGTACATTGCAATCATGGCGATGATGGGTACCAGAACGGACAGGGTGGAGCTCAGAATGGGAAACAGGACGATCAAAGGTTCCTGCTCGGCGTTAGACGCCCAGCAGTTGTTGTTGATGTACTTGATGATGAACCAGAGGCCTGTTGGGAGTTCTAAGAGGAACGGAATGATCCAAGTAAGGAAGAGGAGAGTTGTGAGCTTCCTCGGCTGGAAGAAGTCGGGGTGACCCAAGGGGTGGACGATGCCCACGAACCTCTCGACCGTCACTAGGAGCAAACACATGGGGGAACTGTTCGCCAGACCCCGCTGGAAGATGGAGTATATCTGGACCTCCAAGTAGCTATCGATGGTGGCTGTGGTGAAACAGTAGGGCAACACATCCGAGGCAAACTTCCCCCAGAGCAACCAGGGGTTGAGTAGGCTGCAGAGACAGAGCAGGGCGTCCGCGATGGCGAGGTTAAGAATCAGGTAGTTGGTCAGGTAGTGGAGGTTTTTACTCCGGTAAATCGTCAGCACGACTAAAGTGTTTCCGATCAGCCCAATAGCGCCGATTAGGAGTTCCAAACCGATCAGTACTTGGCTTGGAGTAGCTTGGGGCACCTGAAAGGTGTCATTTTTTATAAGGTCAGGGTATGGAACCATATTTGTTTCCTCCATGTTGAGTTATTGTCAAATTACGCGCATGATTTTTTGTCTCTCGATGTTCATTCCACTGGAAAATCGAAGGTCATACAAAGTTCAAAGCTGAATCTGTTCACTTATTTTCCAATTGACTCTTTTGAAGGATCCTGTAGAAGTTGTTGAAATCCAAGTTTGTGTGAACATAATTTTCTGTACAGTCGGGAGTATCGTGGCTCACATTGTAAAGTTGTATTACACCGATCGATCTTCAATCCTTAAAATCTCTCACAAAATGACATTTTTAAAAGAAGGCGGCCTCACGAATGTCCTTCTTTTCTATAATTTTTTATTGTAAGAATTCGCAGTTTCCGGAGTTAATATTCGATCTGAACTCTGCAATCAGATCCAATCACAACGAAATTTGCTATGAATTTTGTTGATTCCATCCCGAAATCTGGTGACAGAAAAACATAAAGAATACAAAACTTGAGAATTTGTTAGCAATGATCTTTTCTATTGAAATTTTTCAACGCATCGGAAGTTCGATCACAGATAACTCACGATAATCGCAAACGGCACTGCCGCTGATCAGAAAGACTCGATATGGTTTAATATGTAACACTTCGTACACAGTGCACCACACGCATTATCGGGTATTGCCCGGCAATTCTGAAATTTCAGAGCAAATTTAATTACGATACAAAGCAAATTTAAGAGCAAATTTAATTAACCAGTTACATGTTCTTTACTCCATGCCGGGTTTTAGTCAAGAATCCCAGAATTGTAGTCAATCAAATAAATCTCTCGGGAAGTGTAAAATGAAATTCGAATCTTAATAATGGCCTTTAATGCCGGCCTATAGTCTTTATATACACACGGGGTCGTGATGTTTTGGGTGGGGTTATTTTGTTTTTGTTTTTGTTGTTTTTGTCTTCTTTTTGTATCTTTGGGTGTTTTGTCTCGTCTTCTTTTCTTTTTTATGCCCCGCGGCGAAGCCGAAGGGGCATACTGTTTCCGCCTTGTCCTTCCGTGGGTGGGTGTGTGTGTGGGTGGGTGTGTGTGTCCGGAAAAATCTTGTCAGCGCGATAACTTGAGAAATACTTAACATATGAACTTCAAATTTGGTTTGTGGATTGTCCTTGGCAATTCTAAGAAGCCTTTCGCATTTGGGGCCAAAAGGTCAAGGGTCAAGGTCACAGTGGCAAAAACAAGGGAAATTTTATCAGCGCGATAACTTGAGAAATACTTTACATATGAACTTCAAATTTAGTTTGTGAATTGTTCTTGGTAATCCTAAGAAGCCTATTGCATTTGGGGCCGAAAGGTCAAGGGTCAAGGTCACAGTGGCTGAAACAATAGAAATTTTTTAGCGCGATAACTTGAGAAATACTTTACATATGAACTTCAAATTTGGTTTGTGGATTGTCCTTGGCAATCCTAAGAAGCCTTTTGCATTTGGGGCAAAAAGGTCAAGGGTCAAGGTCACAGTGGCAAAAACAAAGGAAATTTTATCAGCTCGATAACTTGAGATACACTTTACATATGACTTCAAATTATGTTTGTGGATTGTCCTTGGCAATCCAGAGAAGCCTGTCGCATTGGGGGTCGAAAGGTCAAGGGTCAAGGTCACAGTGGCTAAAACAATAGAAATCTTGTATTTATTCTTAGATCATAGGGATTACGGATTAATTCATATGAAACCTACAGAAGACACTAATGCTGTCAATGAACGTTCCATGTGACCAAGGTACATGTAAGTTGATGTTAGAGTGGTGTTATGTCATGGAAACAGTCACGGTTGCGGGGCATTTGTGTTTGTAAACACATCTGACTTGTTTTTTCTTTTCTTTTTTTCATTTGTTGGTGTTTTCACAGCAAATCGAAATTAACTATACGCAATCCCAATTCCATAGCAGCCTTACCGATTGGGGTAAAAACTATCCAATGTTTTGGATTAATGTTGACTAAAATCGTGATTTTCATTTCACATTGTTTCCACACAATACTATAATTCCAATTTCTGAGGGAATGGGGGCGCTATTTTAAACGGCGCCATTTTCTGGTTAGTTGAAATATCAAGTTCATTGAAAGAAATTAATTTTCAAATTGAAAACTTTAAAAACAGATTTAAAAAACAGATTTTTAAAATGTAAATGTTTAACTGAAGCAACATGTAAACGTCAATAACCTTCGATTCGCGTCTTTTTGTGCCCCATTATATCGTCGTTACAGCGCCCTCTCTCGACAATAATGGTAAAGTAACATTCTTTGTTACTTTCGCAGCCTCGACATTCCTTTTTTGCTGTTTGACTTTCTTTGATTGATTACAATTTTTGAAAGCCAACGTTTACATGATAGCTCAACTTTTCTTTGATTGATGACATTTTGTGATAATACCCAACTGCATGCGCCTCGAAGCTTCTATGTTATTGTCGCTGATAGGTACCGAGCTATCTGTAAAATGACGCACTTCTGTTGCCGTCCTGGAGAGGAGTTAATGTAATAAATGAACCTTTTAACGAGTCGAATTAACTTAAAATAGATGTCGCTCGTCTGAAAGGCAAGTGGGGCTATCAACGAAAAAGTGGGAAACAATATAATGTTATCGTCTTCGAGACGAAATGAAAGAGTAAGATCTGGAGATAGGAAGAGGTCAACCTGGTCCTCAGTTCCACTCTTCTGAGATATTTGTCATTCTGTGAGATAATAAAATAGTGATTAATTGAATAAACTCCTGCAAGGAAAATATAGGGCCAACTTGGAGGTAAAGGCGAAATAATGAAAATTGGAATTAAGTAAGAAAGCGGAGCGTAGAGCCGGAACGAACTTCAATAGAGCTAAATCAGAATACCAAACAAAAAACACTTTTCCAGCGCCGGCACCTTGTTTGAACAATTATCAACTGTACAAAAGCCATATTGATTCAGTTATGAAAAATAGGGGAGAATTGGTTAACACGACACGAAAATAAGTTCAACGAAATTAGACAAAAACAGTGTTTATTAAATTAATATTAACGTCACGTCTGAAATGGAAAACACAATATTCACGGGATGAGGCATTTTTAAATTTCCTTGGTTCCGATGTGTTTGAAAGACTGAATCCTCGGCTCACGAGGATAAGGCCGCGGACGAGGTATACAATAAAAGCTCTTGGCATTGAAATTTGTTTTCTCAAAAGTCAAAATAATTCAAAATCATAGTGATTTTTGTCGTCTTTTTTGTGGTTCCAACTCAGCTAGACGCATTCGGGCAAGTGATCACTGTACACTCACTAGGCCCTCTTCAATGGCGAAAAGCATTGTGCGAAGCTGCTGTCCAGGGCCAAATTTCTTGGCTTTGCTTACCGTTAGCGAAAAATCCCTGCTCACTGTAGCAGAAAATTCCGTGCTTACGGTAGGCGTATTTCACGGCTAAGCGAGGAATTTTGGCGTCTGCGCATGTGTACATCTGGTAACTAAGGATTCTGTGCTTACGGGGTAAGCACATGACTTTTTTGGCTAGTGCGGTTAGCACATAATGGCAGTGTTGTAGTACACGTACTCGGTACCTTGACATTCGAGTACGAGTACTCTAAAAAAAAAAAAAAAAAAAAAAAAAAGTACTCGAGTAGAACTCGAGTACTTTTTTTTAGAGTACTCGTACTCGAATGTCAAAGTACTCGTACTCGAAATGGCGGTACTCGTACTCGGGCAGCAAGTACTTGTACTCGACATGTCGAAATTGTACTCGATCATCGAATAACAGTACTCGGGGTGGGGGGGGAATGGTATAGCTTGACTTACCAGGCCTTTTTTATCGATACTTTCAGTTTGAAGAGGTTGATTGGCTTGCGGAGAAATCGAAGTTTCCTGATTGTCCTCTGTACATGTCTGGACAAACACATTTAACAGCTAGCCGTGAGTAGGTTTGTATGTCGGTCTGGCTGGGCCTGGGCCAATTACGCACAATGAGCCATATGCCGAATGGCCGTATTCGGAAATAGAAGTATTCGTACTCGTAGGCTACTCGTGCTTAGGAATGCAAGTACTTGTACTCGTGCTCGTACTCGGAAGTACTCGTACTCGTACTAGTACTCGGAAGTACAAGTACTCGTACTCGGAGACCTGTACTTGATGTACTTGGAAGTAGTCGTACTCGTACTCAGCAAGCTAAGTACTCGGCTGTACTTGGTACTCGGAGAAAAGTACTCGACTACAACACTGCAAAATGGTGATCGTATAAGCACGGAATCCTGTGGTTAGCAGAGCCAAAAAATTAGGTCAATGACGCGTTATTTTAGCAATAGCTAGCATACAAAGTTTCGCCACTGAAGGGGACCTCTGCGATACAAGTGAGAGCGTGCCCAGATTGGTATATTTCTTCCGTGTGTGGTGTTTTTTTTTAATTTGGATGAAGAAAATGAACAAACAAATCTTTTGCTACCAAATCAAGGAACAATTCACAGAGGTTAAGTCTCTGCAAGAATTTCATTCGAAGACAACCTCTCAAAACTAGCAATAATACATCATGCCCTAATTGTATTTTTTTTTAAACCCAAAAATCCGAACCATAATCTAACCTATGAATACACAATTCTACTCACATTTTGCCGAGTCGAAAGCTGAAACATGTTTCTGTCGGGCGAAGCTGTTGAACTGTAACAGCCGACTCCGGTTTTATGCCAGCAACGCGCAGGCGGCGGGAATCCTGACGCATGCGCGCACTGTACACGTGACTCGCCACGAGAAATTGGATTATCTCTCTGATTGTTTCCATGGCATCGCGATCAAGGGACCGAGAGCGGGGCTGGTGAATTAGCGATGACAAGGGACACCGAGGAATGAAGGATGATATCTGCATTTTGGAGGCGCTGAATAGCACCGTTGGCAAACACTAGTGTCCGTAACACATTTACGAGGGAATTAAAGGGAGCAAAGGGGTGTTCGTGACCGTTGTTACCCTAGAGTTTCGTAAAATAAATTATGTGTACACGTCATCACTTGTTCATACACTACTGTGTGACGTATACATCGATGTTTGTCTAAAAGTCAACCA